TACTTTTTTAAAAATATAGTTTATTGTCAAGTTAGCTAACATACGGAATATACAGTGTGCTCTTGGCTTCAGAAATAGATTCCCATGATTCATCACCTACATACAACACCCAGTGCTCATCCCAACAAGGGCCTTTCTCAATGCCTATCACCCATTTTACCCTCCACCCTACCCTCTTCCATCAACCCTCAGTTTATTCTCTATATTTAAGGGTCTCTTATGGTTTGGCCCTGTCTCAGTTTGTGGCTATTTTTTTCCTTCCCTTCCCCCCATGGTTTTCTGTTAAGTTTCTCAAATTCCACATATGAGTGAAAACATATGATATCTGTCTTTCTCTGACTGACTTATTTCACTTAGCATAATACCCTCCAGTTCCATCCATGTTGTTGCAAAAGGTAATATTTCATTATTTTTTTATTGCCAAGTAGTACTCCAGTGTATGTATGTATATGCCACATCTTCATTATCCATTCATCAGTTGATATACATTTGGGCTCTTTCCATAATTTGACTGTTGTTGATAGCACATGATCAGGTGAGATTCATTACTAGGCTGCAGGGCTGGTTCAAAATCTGCAAATCAACCAATGTGATACATCACATTAATAGAAGGATATGAACCATATGATCTTATCAATAGATGCAGAAAAAGCATTTGACAAAATATAGTATCCTTTCTTAATGAAAACCTTCAAGAAAGTTGTGATAGAAGGAACATACCTTAACATCATAAAAGCCATATATGAAAGGCCCACAGCTAATACCATCCTCAATGGGGAAAAACTGAGAGCTTTCCCCCTAAGATCAGGAACATGACAAGGATGTCCACTGTCATAACTTTTGTTTAACATAGTGTTGGAAGTCTTAGACTAAGCAATCAGGCAACAAAATGAAATAAAAAGCATCCAAATTGGCAAAGAAGAAGACAAACTTACACTCTTCACAGGTTACATGATACTCTACCTTTCAGGAAAACCTAAAAGACTGTACCCAAAAACTGCTAGAACTGATACATGAATTCAACAAAGTCTCAAGATGTAAAATCAGTGTACAGAAATCAGTTGCATTTCTGTACACCAATAATGGAGTGACAGAAACAGATATCAAGGGGGGGGCACCTGGGTGGCCCAGTCAGTTAAGCGTTTGACTTCAGCTCAGGTCATGATCTCATGGTTTGTGGGCTCTATCCCCACATCAGGCATGTGCTGATGACTCAGAGTCTGGAGGCTGATTCAGATTCTGTGTCTCCCTCTCTCTCTGTCCCTCTCCTGCTTGCTCTCTGTCTCTCTCTTTCTCAAAAATAAATAAACATTAAAAAAAGAAAGAGATATCAAGGAACCAATTCCATTTACAAATGCATCAAGAACCATAAAATACCTAGGAATAAACCTAGCCAAAGATGTAAAAGATCTGTATCCTGGAAATTATAGAAAACTTATGAAAGAAATTGAAGAAGACACAAAGAAAAGGAAAAGCATTCCATGCTCATGAACAGGAAAAACAAATATTGTTAAAATGTCCATACTACCCAATGCAATCTACACGTTCAGTGCAATCCCAATCAAAATAGCACCAGCATTCTTCTCAGAGCTAGAACAAGCAATCCTAAAATTTGTATGGAACCACAAAAGACCCTGAATAGCCAAAGTAATGTGGAAAAAGAAAACCAAAGCTGGAAGCATCACAATTCCGGATTTTAGCCTGTACTACAAAGCTGTAATCATCAAGACAGTATGGTATTGGCACAGAAAGAGACACATAGACCAATGGAATGGAATAGAGAACCCAGAATTGGACACACAAAAGTATGGCCAAATCAACCCTTCTTTATATGTTTGGTAGAATTCTCCTGTGAAGCCATCTGGTTCTGGACTTCTATTTGTTGGGAGTTTTTTTTGATTGCTGATTCAATTTCTTTGCTGGTTATTAGTCTGTTCAAATTTTCTATTTCCTTCAGTTTCAGTTTTGGTAGTTTATATATTTCTAGAAATTTATCCATTTCTTCTACGTTGTCCAATTTGTTGTTTGTCCAATTTTTCATTATATTCTCTTATGACTGTATTTCTGTGGTGTTGGTTGTTCTTTCTCTTCTCTCAATTGTGATTTTATTTATTTGAGTCCTTTCTCTTTTTTTCTTGATAAGTCTGGATAAAGAGCTATAAATTTTATGGATTTTTTTTCAAAGAACCAGCTTCTGGTTTTATTAATCTGTTCTATGGTTTTTGTAGTTTCTATATCACCTAATTATTTTCTAATCTTTATTATTTCTTTCCTTCTTTTGGTTTTAAGTTTTGTTTGTTGTTCTTTCTCTAACCTCTTTGGTGCAGGGTTAGGCTGTTTGAGCTTTTTCTTGCTTCATGAGGTAGGTCTGTATTGCTCTCAACTTCCCTCTTAGAACCAGTTTTGCAGTATCCAAGAAGTTTTGGCCCATTGTGGTTTCATTTTCATCTGTTTCCATGTACTTTTAAAATTTCTTCTTTGATTTCTGGTTGACCAGAAATTCATTGTTTAGTATCATGCTGTTTAACCTCCATGTATTTGTAGTCTTTCCATATTTTTTTCTTGTGGTTGTTTCCTAGTTTCATAGCATTATGGTCATAAAAGTTGCACGGTATGATTTCAATCTTGAATTTGTTGAGGGTTGTGTTGTGGGCTAATATGTGATCTATTCTGGAGAATATCCTGTGCGAACTTGAAAAGAATGTGTATTACAAAAATAAACTCAAAATGGATGAAAGACCTAAATGTAAGACAGGAAGCCATCAAAATCCTTGAGGAGAAAGCAGGCAAAAACCTCTTTGATCTTGGCCGCAGCAACTTCTTACTCAGCACGTCTATGGAGGCAAGGGAAACAAAAGCAAAAATGAACTACTGGGAACTCATCAAAATAAAAAGCTTCTGCACAGCAAAGCATAAATAGCAAAATAGAAATAAAAGGAAAAGTTGCAAACTCATTGTATGAAGACAGAATTAACTTGATTGCAAAACCAAAGACCCCACTAAAAAGGAGAACTACAGACCAAATTCCCTAATGAACATGGATGCTGAGATGTCAGCCCAGAGCCCAACATGGGGCTTGAACCCATGAACCATGAGATCATGACCTGAGCTGAAGTCAGATGCTTAACCGACTGAGCCACCTAGATGCCCCTAGATGGGTCTTCCTTTTTAACCATTCTGTCATCTTATGTCTTTTTGTTTTTGTGTTTATTTAGGTTCAGTTAGTAAACACACGTTGTAATATTAGTTTCAGCTGAAGAATATAGTGATTCAACAGATTCAACACTTCCATACAACACCTGGTGGTCATCAAATTAAGTACATTCCCTATTCCCCATCACCTATTTAACCCCTCCTCCATCCATTTCCCCTTGGTAGCCATCAGTTTATTCTCTATAATTAAGATCTGTTTCTTGGTTTGCCTTTATCTCTCTTATTTTTTTCCCTTTCCTTCTTTGTTTTGTTTCTTAAATTCCACACAGGAGTGAAATCATATGGTATACCCTCCACCTCCATCCATGTCATTGCAAATGATTTCACTCTTTTTATGCCTGAGTAATATTCCATTTTATATATACCACATCTTCAAAGATTCATTTTTAATATTTATTGCAGAACTTGTTTAGTGGTCATAAGTCCTTTAGTTTTTGTGTGTCTGGGAGATTCTTTATCTCTCCTTCTATTCAAGAAATTCAACTGTGTCTTCTGAATTTGGAAGTAGTGACTTTATGAAGAAGGGGTCCTGGAGTGTCCTGCAGTACATTGTCCCCTCTTCACCACACCTGGCAGTTCATGAGAGTATCCAATATGTGTTGTTTATGTCCTGCTGTTGTGTCTTGAGTCACTTTTCCTTTCAGTGTAGTTGTCTTCTCTAATTAGCTGCCTGTTGTGGGCTGTGCTTGCTCTCTGTGATGTTAGTAGGACCCAGGCAGTTCAACTCTAAGGGGGATGACTGCTGGGGAACTTGGGAGCCGGGTGACAATGCTAGCAAAGTTTGTGCTGGATCACTAATCCTATGGCAGATGCCCTGAAACACTCCAGGGGCTGGTGGCTATGTTATGGGGTTTCTAGGGACAAAAGCCTGGGCAAGAGAGTGAGGATGGCTAGGCATAGCTGGTACTTGTGCTCAACAGTGGTTGGGGATGCATGACTGGAGGTGACATGGCTTAACAAAATTTTCCCTGAGCCCAGGATCAAAGCTAGTAAGTTGGTTGGTGTGTGCTAGTTCCCAGGAGAACTTGTGGACATGGCATACTGCCAATGGGTTTTATAGAAAGTGTCTGTGCAGCCCTGTCTCCCATAGGTGGCTCTGTGTTTATGCTGGGGTTTGGGGAAGGAAAATGGCATCTTCCAGCTCTCTCATTTTTGAAGTCCCCTAACATGCTCTGAAATCAGTATGAACAGCTCTGTCTCCTGCTTGTCTCCGGTGTTGTGTAAACTGTGATTTTTATGTTGCCTCTCTGTGTGGGCTGCTGTCTCCTTAAGGGCAGTGACCCAACTATCACTCACCCTTGGACTTGCCCAGAACTGAGTCAGCTGACTTTTAAAACTCCAGACTCCAAGTCCCACTGGTTTTACAGACTCAAGGAATTCAGTCCCTCTGGTTTTTAAAACCAAATATTATGGTTTTAAAATATTTTAATTTAAAATAAAATATTTTAAAAATTAAAAATAAATAAAATATTTAAAATATGGTTCACTCTTCCACGTGTGAACACCCTGGTGTGAGGGCCCATTTCTCTGCTCTTTCCATGTGTGCAGCTCCTTCTCTCCTACAGACAGCCTCCCTTACCTTTCTGACCTTCCTAACCTTTCAGATGCAGCTTCATCTCTGTGTTTAGTTGTGGAGTTTGTTCTGCTAGTCTTCAGATTGCTGTCCGGTTGATTAACTTGGATGTAGATGATGTCTAGTTGAAAATATGGGATGGGATGAACTCAGGGTCCTCCACCTCTGCCATCTTCCCAAGCTTCTTGCTAGAATGATTTACTTTTAAAATGAGACATAAGGTGGAGAAGTCAAAGGAATGCATTTCTAGTGGTAAAATATCAAGGTCTTAATATCTGGCCAGGGGAAATAATTGAGTGTGATGTCTTCCCAGTCTTTTAAATAGTGTACCTAGTAAGTGACCCTGAGGCTTACACAGGCTGTGTTCAATGCCTGGACTTATGAAGGACCTCCTCCCTAGAAAAAGTTTCTGACTTCAGGGCAAAAGAGCAGTAGTCTCTCAAACCAGACATGAGCCCTGGAAAGAAGCCCCTTAGTATCAGGACCTGTTTTTCTTTTCCAGCCTTGTGCAGATTTTTGCCTTAGAGCAAAGAATAGGATGAAGCATAAGAATCCCGTAGATTGGTGGTACAGAGACTAAGATGAGATGTGGTGAGCAGTGGTTTAAGACTAAGAAACCTCTTCCCAGTGGCCTAACTACCTTGGGAAGGTAGTTCCCCTTACCCAAAGACTGATGTTTTCTCTGTGTGTTTTGCTTACAGGGAAGCTTCAGACAGAGCTTGGTAAGTGACCCCTTTTGGGATTATTTCTTCTTGTCTATCTTTTAGCATCTGATTTTCCATGTATGTTCTTTTCATATCCCAACCAACTATGATGCCCAGTATGGAATGCTGATAGCAATGTGGGTGGCGGGAGAAAATGCTGATAGCAATGTGGGTGTCAGGAGAAAGGGGAGAAGGGCAGGGGTGGGTGCAAAATGCAGTGTGTGAGCAGGGAAGCAGCACTGACCTGATGTTCTGATTCCATTTTTCCATGACTGCTTCAGACTGGAGAAGGGCTGAAGGCCAGGCTGGTGAGTGAAATCTGTCTCCCTCCCACTGTCCACTTTACATCTCAACATCCCAGTCACTCACTCTGACTAACCACCCACGCTTCATTCTGGTTTATTCCACAGGCACATGGCATGCATTAATGTATGTCACTTAATAGAAGTCATATTCTAGTTTTGCTCTCATATTTACTTTCATATCGTCCTGAGGTGTAAGCATATTGTAAGCCATTGGTGAAAATTATGGTTGCACATCAGAATTATCTAGATCCTGGTACCGACCCTCAAAGACTGTGACTTGTGGGTCTAGAATGGGCATGTTGACCTATATGTAAATATTTTCCCCTATACCTTCTTCCATTCCCTACATAAAGCAGTCTAATGTGTAGCTTTATTTTGTATGTATTCTTGCAAAAGGTGAATTTCTTCTTTGTGCACAAACATTTTAGTTTCTGTAAATGACATTTACAGTCTTGTGCTGTTCCTTGCTTTTTTCACTCATCACTGTGTTTTAATACCCGTCCCTGCCACCACATCTGGTCTGTGTCTCCTTGCTGTGGAGTACTCCATTTTAGCCGGCCACCTTCTTGGAACAGACATCCAGCCTGCCTCTAACTCCATACCACCACACACATTGCTGACTGAATAGCTTCAAATGTGTTGCCTTCTGGCTTTATGTGGATATTTCTCTGGGATGTGTACCCAGGAAGGGAATTGCTGGTCCATGGGGGAGGGGATATGTCACTAAGTGGGATAGAAGGATCCCCCAAAGGCAGTATCATCATCCTGCCATTGGCAGTACATGGAGGTTCCACATGCTACATCCCATATGAGCCAGCTTTCTAAGTTAGCTTGTCAATGGAGATGAGTGATTGCTCATTGTTCTTTCAGTCTGTCCTCCTCTGGACACTAAGAAGTTTGGGCATCTCTTCATATGCTAGATGACTTTTGGGGCTTCCTTTTTTGAATATTGCCAGTTCATGTCCTTGGCTATTTTTAGTATGAGGTTACTATCTTTCTTTTATTGATTCAAGGAGACATGTGTACATACATACACATATCACCAACAAAGTTTCAAAAACTCAAGTCATAAGATAAAAATTTGATGAATTAGATTTTATCAAAATTAATGATTTCTTTTCAGTAGGAAACCATGGACATAGCTGATAGCAGGTGACAGATTAAAGAAGGAATTTACAATGTTTAATACCAGTGAGGGATTAATATTCTTATGCAGATATATCTTCATCAAAATTTTACCTTATGTCAGGTGTTTTTGAAATTCTACTGAAGAAAAACTTCCTCACACTTAGGTCACAAAGATAATCTCTTCCACTTTCTTCTGTTCACTTTATATGTGTTATGTGTATGTCTCTAATCCATCTGAAGGTTGCCATCTACTACATCATCTGTGATTTCCCCATTGATGTGGGTATTGCTCTTAGTTAATATTTGGTTCCCATGTGTAGATAGGACTATATTTTGACCACCTATTACTTCATTGTTCTCACTGCTGTGGCTTTTGTACCCAAAAGTACAAGTTATTCTCCTTTTCTGGGAGTGAACAGACATTTTTAAAAGTGAACGGACATTTTTAGGTCCATTTTAAATTTTAGGATAAATTTACAAAATCCTTTTAAAAAATCCAAAAGTGCCTAAGTGGCCCAGTCAAACGTCTGACTTTGGCTCAGGTCATGATGTCCCACATCATGGGAGTTCGAGCCCCACATGAGGCTCTGCACTGACAGTGTCGAGCCTTCTTGGGATTCTCTCTCTCCCTCTCTCTCTGCTCCTCCCCCATTAGCTTGCTCTCTCAAAATAAATAAACTTAAAAAAATAAAGTTCTACTAGTTATTCTGATGTAAAAACAGGTTTGAAAGGCCCTGCTATAAATTTATGAATCTCTGAAAACTTCTATTACTTTTGCTATTTTGTGATTTGTTGATTTCTCTTTTGTAAAGCAAAATAAGATAAAACAAAACAGAAATCAACTCAGAATGGTTCATATTAAGAAAAGATGCAAGACATAATGTCTAAAGGACATGTTAGGACAGGAGCCATGTTCAACCAGGCCCCCTTGGACTGAGCCTGCTGGTCAGATTGAAACTTCATGTGCAACTTTCAGGGCATCTCAGCCACCTGTATTGGTTCTCTTTGCCTACATCCTTTGTTCTCCTGCCTTTCTCAGCACAAGGTTAGACTGCATACAGATTTGGTATAACCCAGCAATGACACCACCCACCTACCCAATTCTAAATTCCCAGAGAAATGCCATGGTGAACCCAGACCAGTCTGGACTCTACCTGTCACAGTAGGAAGGAGATCATTGGGTTTGTGCCATTCCTCATGCATCTTGAGTCTCCCTCAACGTTCTAGAGTTACTGGCTCAGATCTCTAAACCTGTTTTCCTTTCTTCTTGGTTTCAGAATGGAGAGCAGCCCAACAATATGCAGGTAACTGAAGTCAAGGGACTGTAACTTGTGATTGGGTTGGCTGGATTTTAAACACAAGGGAGGTGGAGAGATCTGAGATTAGAGGAAGGGTCTGTCCAAGAGCCAAGTATGAAGCCTGCATGCACACACACACATACAGCATAATCCTACCTTTGCACATATACGACATGACACATATGCCTGCATGTACACATCTGATTATACTCACACATGCACATTTTTGTGCATGCACATTATACTCACACATGCGCATATCTTCTTTAAAAGCACATCATTTTCTGTGTTTTACCAGATTTGTTTTCATCTGGCAGGAAGGCTGCTAGGGCCTGTTTGTAGGAACCTCTTATCTGAAAGAAGAGATCCTTAAGGTTCTCATCTATTAAATGGGTGTGCTTTGAGGGGTGAGGTGTTGAAGTGCAGGGCACTGGACCAGATGATCTCAGAGGTCCCTTTCCATTTTAAAATCCTAACATTGCTATAAAACTGAGGCTCAGAGTTCACATGATGATCTCAAGGTCACACAGAGTGGTGGCATCCAGGAATTGGACCAGCCAGGAGCCTCTTCACCTTGACCAGGAGTTGGGAGAAGTGAGCCTGCCTCCATCTCCACGAATCTATCTTGCTTTCTATCTCTGCTCTCCGTGGCACCTAGTATGGCATTCAGGAAATTTCAGGAAAGAAATATGATTCCTCCTGCGGCTGTCAGGTGCTCAGGAGTGACTTGCAAGCTGCTTCAGTAAACAGGGATGGTTTTAAGGTGGGAATGACCACCAGGAGCACTACGGTTTACTTGTCAGGGAAGGGGACAGGCAGGGCCCAGAACCGTCCTCCACAAACCTTAAACCCGTGCCTCTGCACAGTGCATGTAACCCTTGATCCGGCCTCGGCGCACCGCAGCCTGGAGGTCTCCGAGGATGGCAAGAGCGTGTGCTCTTGCGCAGCAGTGTCCGGCTCTGTGGCGGGGGACCAGCAGCGGTTCTCTGAGCAGACGTGCGTGCTGAGCTGTGAGCGCTTCTCAGCTGGCCGACACTACTGGGAAGTGTATGTGGGACGGCGCAGCCGCTGGTTCCTGGGTGTGTGTCTGGCTGCAGTTCCCCGCTTGGGGCCAGTGCGCCTAAGCCCGGCCAGCGGTTACTGGGTGATGGGGCTGTGGAACCATTGTGAGTACTTCGTCCTGGACCCACACCGCATCCCGCTCACCCTGCGCGTGCCGCCCCGGCGTGTGGGCATCTTCCTGGACTGGGAGGCAGGAAAACTGTCCTTCTTCAACGTGTCCGACGGCTCCCACATCTTCACCTTTACCGACACCTTCTCAGGCACGCTCTGTGCGTATTTCAGGCCCAGAGCTCACGACGGTGGTGAACACCCGGATCCCCTAACCATCTGTCCATTGCCTATTAGGGGGACACAAGACCTGGAAGAGGATGACCGTGACACCTGGTTACAGCCCTATGAGCCCACAGATCCCACCCTGGGCCTATAGTGAGGCACTCTTTTGCCTGCGGGTCTGGGTCTTTGGCGGCTTCCTGGATACTTTTTGCTCTCCCGCTTCTACGGAGGAAGCATCACAAAAATGTCAGCAAAGGCTAAAGAGCACAGCAGATAGGGAACAAAAAGAGGAACCTTTGCTTATATGTGTGTGTATACACATATATACATATAAATACACACACACACACACACACACACACACACACACACGATTTTCTTTAAGAAAAAGAGGCAATTCCAAAGCTTGTTTGTGTGGATGGTAAGAAAAAGCAAATGAATAACAATAAATTCATGCTGTCATTAGCCATAGTATGCACTGTGGAAGACCAGAAAGAAACTGGAATGGAGAAAAGATGGAGGGAAATCTTACTGGACTGGATAAGAAGTATTGGTTAGCTTGTATATTTCTTATACTTTTTGTATATGTTTTCTAGTTCTAAAATGTCTAGAAGCAATGACACTTCATAAGCAATGAGTTCACTTAGGGCTTAGATCCCAGTGTTAAATGGCACTTCTCACTGAAATGAACTTGGAGAAATGGCTGATTCCAGGGTTGGAGCAGAGAAAGTACAGGTGAATCTGGAACATTGTGTATTCAAATGTGCTCAGAAACTGATGGGGACGTAGGAACTAGGATGAAGAGGCTCCACTAGCCAGTTATGAGACAGCTTGAACATTATAATGAATAATGACAAGAATTGATCAACAAGGAATTGAGCAAATAAGAAAATTCCCTAAGTGTGCCGAGAGGTTTCTCAGTCAGAAAATAAATACAAAAATGCAGAAAAAAGAAAGAAGAAAATGAAAGGTAACTCTATGAACTCACGTTTTTTTTATATGTACAGATATGTGGAGCGCACACACACATGTGATAGGTATAGGTAGATAGGTATGTAGGTAGGTAGATAGATGTGTGTCTGCATGCATATGGTTCCTAGCTCTGTCAGTTTTGACAGCTTAGAAACAATAACACGCCTAGCACCCAGAATTTAGCTTTTAGTACTGTTTTCCACAAAAGGAATGAAGGTTCCTTTGAGAAATGGTGGACCCCAGGGCTGAGGCGGGGAAAACACAAAATAGGTGTGATATTATGATTAATAAGTATATATTTGCTCTTCCATCTAGACTCTCACACAGAGCTCTTGAAACCCTTAGAATTTCCTAAATGGTAAGAGCTATTAGGGTGGCTTTTGGTATTCATAATAAGCACCTTTCAACCATACCTTATTTATGTTAATGATATGTCTTTTGGAAAGCCCCCTAAGGATGGGGCTGGTTATCAGAGGAACCAAGTATGTGATTAAAAGGTTAAAACTTAGACCCATCTCCCAACCTCCACTTCCAAACTCAGTGAAGAGAGGCTGGAGATTAAGTGCAATCACCAGTATTGCCAATGACTTAATCAACAGAATATATGTAATGAGACCTACATAAAACTCAAAAGGACCAGGTTCATAGAGCTTCCAGGTTGGTGAACTCTTGAAGAGGGAGAGAGAGTGGTGCACCCAGAAAGCATGGAAGCCTCACACTTTACCCCATTCCTTGTTTTTTGCATCTTTCCATTTGGCTGTTCCTGGGTTATAATAAAGCAGTAATCTAGTAAATAAACTGTTTTCCTGAGTTCTGTGAGGTGCTCTAGCAAATTACTAAACCTCTGAAGGTTGTGGGAACCTCCAATTTATAGCTGTCAGAAGCACAGGTAACAACCTGGACTTGCAAGGGTGTGTGAAATGAGGGGTAGTCTTATAGGACTGAGTCCTTAACTTTTGGAATATGACACTATCTCTAGGTAAATAGTGTCAGAATTAACAGCTTGGTGTTAAAAAAATATACCAGAATGGGTCTAAAAGATCTTGCCTGGGTGGCTCAGGCAGTTGAACATCTGACTTCGGCTTAGGTCATGATCTTGTGGTTCTTGAGTTCGAGCCCCAAGTCAGGCTCTGTGCTGACAGCTCAGAGCCTGGAGCCTGCTAAGGATTCCGTGTCTCCTTCCCTCTCTCTCTGTCCTTCCCCTGCTCACTCTCTGTCTCTCTCTCAAAAATAAATAGACATTAAAAATATAAATAAATAAATAAATAAATAAATAAATAAAAGATCTACTAGAAAGTAAGGAAGTACTCAAAGAATGAAGAGGATTTATTGTCAAATTGGGTGTTGTATGGAAACCAATTTGACAATAAATTTCATATTAAAAAAATAAAGTTTACTGAGAAAGAAAAAAAATCAGCTCAGAATGATCTGCATGCCAAAGGGGCATATTTTGGGGTGGCATATTTGGCTACCCTTCAGCCCAAAAAACAAAATTTTGAACAACACTGAAGGGGATTATAATATGCCACCCCAATATCTGCCACTTTGGAATGAAAATTATTTTGAGCTGAAGGCAATTGAGAATTAACAGATGTAGAAAGAATCTCTCACAGAGCTTCTGTTAAAAAAAAAAAAAAGAATGAAGGGGAGATGTCAATTTGACATAAAAGTCAGCTTAAAGGAACTCTACTAGCCAAATTTGATCACAGTAATTAATGGAACTTACAAATAAGTAAAAATAGGAATCCAAGCATATGTATATCTACACTGATATACATAAATAAATGAATACCCAAATAGGGGAGAAGAGAAAATTCAACTCTACAACAGAAGTTTCAAAGTATTTCCCACAAAATAGCAATTACTTATTAATTTAGAAGCACAATACACTTACCGATTTTACAGAGGAGGAGACTGGCAGACATCACAATAACAGAGTGACAAGAGTTAACATCACCAGATATGACATAAATTTATACCATGTGTTTCCTGATGCAAAACAGTGAAGAGAAAACAACAGCATCACTTTTGAGGTATTCCTGCCCCCAAAATTCATAAATCATGAAGAAATAGACAAGTTGGCTGATACTCTTAAAAACTGTCAAGGTCATTAAAAACAAGGCAAGACTAAAGAATTATTTCAGATTGAAGGAAACTAAAGACAGAGGACGACTAATGCAATAGAGTAATATATAGAGAGAATGATAAATGAATGCAGTGGTATCATATAAGTGCTAAATAACTGGCTTTCTGAGAAGAAAAAACTGTAGCACTTGTTCATTTCCATGGTGTAAATACTACTATGGCTGATGTCAAGCCATTGATGCAACATCAGTGATGGATTTGGGAAGAAATGCCCACAACTGGCTCTCAAGCCACCAGCTCCAGCATACCACTGATTTTATGTGATTCTACATAGAGCATTTGGTCATCTATGTGACTGTTTCTCTAAAAAATCAAATAAGTTCATTTTTGAGTTTATGAAAATGCTTGGCTACCTGTTATTATAAAAATTACAGCCTTGTTCAGAAGAAATGAATAGACACTTTTCCAAAGAAGACATCCAGATGACTAGCAAGAAGCATGACAAGATGTTTAACATCACTCATCATCAGGGAAATGCAAATCAAAACTGCAGTGAGATATCACCTCACACCTGTCAGAATGGCTAAAATCAATGCAAGAAACAACAGGTGTCAGCGACAATGTGGGAATGCTTTTGCACTGTTGGTCGGAATGCTAACTGGTGCCACTACTCTGGAAAACAATATGGAGGGTCCTCAAAAAATTAAAAATAGAACTACCTTATGATCCAGCAGTCACACTACTGGGTATTTATCCAAAGATTACAAGAACACTAATTCAAAGGGATACATGCACCCTGATGTTTATAGCAGCGTTATTACAATAACTAAGATATGGAAGCAGCCCGGGGCCCATTGAGTGATGAATGGATAAGGAAGAGAGAGAGAGTGAGATGATGATGATAGATAGATAGATAGACAGATGATAGACAAATAGATAGATGATATATAGATAATGGAACATTAATCATCCATAAAAAAGAATGAAATCTGGCCATTTGCAATGACATGGATGTGCTAGAGAGTATTATGCTAAGTGAAATAAGTCAGAGAAAGACAAATACCATATGATTTCACTCATATGTGGAATTTAAGAAACCAAAGGAGCAATGGTAAAAAAGAGATTGAGAGACAAACCAAGAAACGGACTCTTAATTATAGAAAACAAACTGATGGTTACCAGAGGGGAGGTGGGGGGATGGGTAAAATAAATGATGAGGATTAAAGAGGGCACTTGTGATGAGTACAGGGTGTTGTAGGTAAGTTTTGAATTACTAAGTTGTACACCTGAAACTAATGTTACACTGTATGTTACCTAACTGGATTTAAATAAAAACTTAAAAATAAACTTAAAAATAAAATAAAAAAAAAATGCTAAGAGAAATAATGGGGAAACAGGGAAAAACAGAGAGAGAGAGAAGCAAATCAAGAAATAGACTCCTGGGGTGCCTGGGTAGTTCAGTTGATTAAGAAGTGTCTGACTTTTGGCTCAGGTCATGATCTCAGGGCTCATGAGTTTGAGCCCTGCATCTGGCTTTCTGCTGTCAGCACAGACCCCACTCTGGATCCTCTGCCCACCTCTCTCTTTATGCCCCTTCCCCTCCAAAAAATTAAATAAACATAATTAAAAAAGAGAAATAGACTCTTAACTGTAGAGAACAAACTGATGGTTACCAGAGGGGAGGTCAGTCAGGGCATAGATTAAATAGGTGATGGGAATTAGGGAGTGCTTTTGTCATGATAAACACTGGGTGATGTATGGAATTGTTGAATCACTATATTGTACACTTGAAACTAATATAACACTGTATGTTAACTAACCAGAATTAAAGTAAAAACTTTCTAAAAGTTATAGCCTTAATAACATACTATGTATGATATTCAGAAAAAATTGGTTATGTATAATCATTTGTATTAGTGTGCAAATATTTTGGTGTCCTACTCACAAATGTTGTATGATAACATTAGAAGTATGTTCCTTGACTGTATACAATGATTATCCATTCCTTTAATATTGTTTTTATGCATTAAATAATAAAAACAAACAGCTGATACAAAAGACAAGTTAAATTATTTTTAAATAACTGATAGCTCTACC